ATTGTTTGTATTACTGAAAGTATCCACATTTTTTTCCTTGTTAAAGAATTGTAAATTATACTTAGTTATAGTAAGTGCCAGAAAATAAAACTGTAGGGAACAATAGCAATTGGAAGAAAACAAAACCAAGAAGTGATAGCCTAAAATTGTAAGAGTGAAAATCTACATAGTAAAGTAAACAAAGTTTAAAATTTCTTTAATTGGTTAAGGAAATAGAAAAACAAGGAAAACTTCATAGTAGCAATAGAAAACAAAGAAGCATATGTACACTGGACCAGAAACATTGAGACGCTTCTGAAAAATGTGCCATTTCTAAGAACATATCTGATACAAAATGGGAAAAACAGGGATGACAGAATTTAAAATAAAAACATAATATAAAGGGTCATTTTACCTTGATTATAATTAAAACTCACAGAGGAAAATATAATTGTCATGAATTCTCCTAATAAACTAGTATTGACATGTGAAAACCAAACCTATTAAAAACTACAAGAAGAAATGGACAGAACTTTAGCTATAGTCATAATGGACCCTTTGGTGTACTTCTCACAGAGTGTTAAAGGATAGGAAAAATAAGAAAATATTATCATTGATTAATATAGAGAATATAATAGATTCATTTGCCTTTTGTAGATTGACCTTTATATTTCATAATTTTAATAATACAAATTATTTTCAAATAGCCATCCAAAATTTAAAACTACAAATGACATTACACATATACAACACAAAATAATTTCTGAAAAGTAGAATGAGTCACAGTGATTCTCATGGATCACAATGCATCAAAATTGGAAATATATAATAAAAGCAGTCATTGGAAGGAAGAAACTCACTTGCAATCTGAAGAACTTTCTCTTAATTTACAAAGAAGGAATCAAAAGTCAATAGTACAATTTTGTAAAAGTAATAGTTGCAGCTCTACAATTTAAATACTCAAGCCACATGGTCAAAGCTATACTCAGAGGGAATATATATATATATATATATATATATTTCATTATAATTAATCGAGAAATAATGAAATTTTAGCTAAGCTCTCAGCTGAAGAAATTCCAAAAACATCACCCTTCTCTTTCCAGTGCTTTATGCTGCCTCTCCAAAATAAATAAATAGGAAGAAGGAAAGCAAAAGAATGAAATTGAAATAATAAATTTTTTAAATGGGAAAAGATAGTTAAACAAGATAGAGGACGTTTAACAATAGTAAACTTATAACAGATAATTAGGGTAAGAGAGACTCAGGAACAGGAGTAAGAGAGGGACTATAACCACAGATGAAGAAGAAATCATAAATGAATTTAGATAATGCAGTGTACCAAGTAGGTAATATTCTTTGGTGAAATGGAAGATATTTTACAAAGATTGATGATAACCAATATTAATTGGAGTTTAAAATTTCTCATGGAAGTAATTGAGAAAGTTATATAAAAGTTGCTTTTAAAAAGCTATTGCTCAGGAAAAAAAAAATAAAGCTATTGCTCATAGGAAATTCTAACTGAAGCAATGAAAGGAGATGAAATAAAGGGAGTTGCGGAAAAGGAGGAGTCAAAATAAAATAACTTACAAATGATATGCTTGTTAAATGGATAATTCCAAGAGAATTGATTGAAATACCTGTTTAATATGACAGTACTTTTTAAAGGGCTCAAATTTATTAAAGATAAATAACTTAAATATATGTCAAGAAAATTTGTTAGAAAATAGTAGTGTCAAAATATCCTATTCACTAAAGTAACAGGAATAAATTTGGCCAGAAATATATACCATGTGTATGAGGAAACCTGTGATTGTACCAAGTAGTACCAAGGAACTTAAAAATCTTAACAAGTGAAATAACATTTCCTGAGTGACTAGAATCTATTTTCTAAGACATTGTATCTCCCCAGACTAGATTTATGCCAATTTTTATGCCTATACTTATAAAAGGGAAATAGGGTTGATCAACATTCATAAACATTTACAACATTTACATCTAGATGATGTATCAGAAATCAGTTGGTGGACATAGAATTGCTTTATCAGAAATTAAAATGATGTTGTAAAAGTAACATAGTTAAAAAGACTGTTATATATGCTAGAAGACATATGATGGAAGAGAACAGGAAGTCTAAGTGTAGACCTAAATCTAGAATATATGACAAACTATGGTTTATAAATTATTTCAAAAATATTAAAATTGAAATCCCCAATACTGCAAAAAAATAAATAAAATGTGAAAAAGTATATGTTTTGAATATTGTTTTAATTTATGATTGCAGTTATTAATTGGTTTTGGCTGAGTAGTTTTTTTATTTTGGGTTCTGTTATTAATGATTATGTTTTATATATGATATAATGATTCAGATTTTTATGGTATGACATCTCACTTTACCAGTTTTAAATTTCATTATTCATTCTTTCAGATCATTAGTGATGTAGTTGTAAAAGCTTATTTGGAAATGTACTCAAGCTTTTAATTTTCTCAAATGAAGAACCTCATTTGTTTGTTATAAACCTTCATGACTTTTTTAACATAGGTATTTGTTTGATAGAATCCGATTTTCTGAAGGATGTAGAGAAATCAGTGGGATTATCATGAGTGCTATATAAATGTGACTGTCCATTCCAGTTGCAAAGGAAAATTAAATTATTTGCTTAGATGGAAGAATTGTCTTCTGTATCCCTTTTCTTGCTTGAGCCTAATTGTGAGTCAGTATTTCTGTATCTCTGATAGTAGAGTCTAACACAGACACATTTTAGCTGTTCTGCTCAGAGCTGTAGTTGTTACAGCAAACCTCTGATATTTGTGCACTTAACATTCCACTCAAATGATTTGTGAGCAGTTCCAGAGATATGGGATAATATCTCTTCATTTATTCATTCAGTGGATTGTGACTGAGGCAGATTTGAACCACTGAGCAGGAGACTTACTTAGCAAGGCCAGAAGCCTAGCAGACTACTTGATGTCCACATCTCAGCCCCTCTTTGTTGTACTTTCCTTGCTGTAATTCTTACTAATAAAAGAAAATCTTGTTTATAAAAAAGGGCCATCATGTAGAAGATAACTTCAGTAACTATTGAAAGGCAATTCCTCTCTGATGGGAGGATAAGGGCACAAAGCACAAGACTCTCAGGCAAATGTGATCTGGAGAATGGCCAGAAACCATTCTACAGGAACAGCTCCATGTTTATCATGTGGGGATTCACAAAGGTTAGAGGACATGACCCTTTTGTTTTTACTATATATGGAGATATGTGTTTTTAAGATAATGAATGCTGATTGTAATTTAGTGTGTGGCTTTTACTTCACTGTCTAAATTCATTGTCTTGTTTGAAAGTTTCAGTGATAGTGAGATAGTGTTAGAGAAATAGTCCCTCCAGCACTTGTGCAGATAGAATAGCCTGTAGATGTCTTCAAGTAAACAAAGAAGAGCCGAAAAGGAGAGTCCAGATCATTTATAGCATTAAAAATGGAGAAAAGCAGCAGTGATGATAAGGGAAATTAATATGTAACCATCTATCCTTAGACTCTATGAAATTCTCCAGGAAAAATAAGGGATGACAAACTATAATCTTCATGGGAAAGTAATTTGGATCAGAGCTGCAGTCCTGCTTTTTTTAATTAATTCACCTTTTTTTTTTTGAGTTTCTGTTACGTGCTAGGCATTTTGCTAGCTGAGGAAGTAGAACTGAAAAATAAATAAATAAACAAACAAATTGACTAATTAATAATTTCAAATAAATAATAAAATAATTACTAATTACTAAATTAATGAATAATTTCTAAGATAGTTGCAGCCCAGAAAGAGAGATAGATGTTTTTCTACCATGGTGCTCCAGGTGACATGTTAAGGCCAGAGAGAAGAGAAGGCAGGAGGCCTCCAGCAGCTCATCATGAAGGAGGAATAGGGATTAATGAAGAGGCAGGCAGCAGGGTAGTGGGCAGCAGCACAGGCCTGTGGAAAAGCAGAGGTCAAGCAACAGCTCAAGCAAGATGCACCTAGAGCACTGTGGGCAGCAGTATGCACTGCAGAGAGAGCCTTTATGGCTAGGCTGAGCCAGGGGTTGAATTTGAAACCCACACTAAGTGGCTTTGAGCAAATGACACAACCTTTCTGAGAACCCAATTTCCTCACTTGCAAAGTAGAGATGTTCACATCTACCTCCCACAGGGCACAAATAGTAGAAGTCCCTTATATTCAGAGACAGACTGATAAAGACTCTAACAATGTATTTTACCCAGAGGTAGGCTGCATCACCAGACTCCTTCCTCATGGAGTGACCACTAGGCTCAGAATCTTACAGAACGATCAGCTCAAAACAAAGATCTATTATAACATTGACATAATCTTCCATTCTTATTTGACAGCATGCTTGGTTTTCTAAAAGAGGCCAGGACTTGAAAGGTTATGACAGTCTTTAAAGATATGATCTATTTTCATTTCTGAATAGTCATTTTTATTTGCATTTATTTGAAGTATAAAAAGTTGTCCACAGATGTGATTCTTCTCAATACCCAAGTGCATATTTGAAATTTAAGACTACCTGTATGAGTTGCCTATTGCCTGCATTCTATTTTCTATGTAATTGTATTTTTTATTGTGTTTTAATTTCTGGTTTCTAAGGAAAGGAAATATTTGTGACTCAAAATTCTGATGTGCATCAAAATTGTTCTCCTGGCAAGTGTACAAAAATTCAGTTAGTTTCCTGAAGACAAATTGTCTTGGGGTACTGAACTGATTTGAAAGTCTGGAAGAAAATAGTACTCTAGGATTTTTTGAACACAGACAGTGTACATTGAGGACTGTGTGAAACTAATTCTCATGTAAATTAATTCAGTAAAATAAACAAACAGTAAACTTTTCTAGTTTACATTTGTGGAGAGGTCCATTTGCATATTTAGAGATGGTAGGCATTTCTACAAGAAAAGTATAAGACAATCTTTATGTGTATTAAAGCTAGGAAAAGCTGTGAAAATTCACAATAACATTTGCTTAATTTCTTGGATTGTTACAGGGGTTTGCCAACTTGTTAATAAGATGGAGGAGAATTCTGGCAAAGTTAAGCCTTTCAACCGCAATGATGAACAGTTTCTAGAAGCTTTTGTCATCTTTTGTGGCTTGGGGATCCAGAACACACAGATGTACGAAGCGGTGGAGAGAGCCATGGCCAAGCAGATGGTCACATTAGAGGTGGGCTCATGTCTAACAGGCTCCCAAGTCTGCAGCAAAACACTCAGCTTTTACTTTCTTTGCCAGCACCTCATGGTGTGGGTTGGTTCCAGCATTAGAGCCTCAGCAGAATTCCTGTGATTTGCATAGGAAATCTTTATCCTTAAAGAGCTAAGGAAACAAAGACAGAGTATTTGAGAAGCTTGTCAAAGGCCATTTGACAAACCAAGATTCCTACTGCTTGTTCCCTTAGTCCTCTGCTTTGTCTGCAAAAGTCATTCTGGACTTTTGTAATCCATTCACACTGATGTCTACTGCCACTGTGGCCTGTCCCTTCTCTGTACTGTCTGAGTGTCCTCATCTGTCCATTAGGACTCTTCCAAAAATAAAAAACCAAGACAGCAGCAAACATGAAAAATTCCCTAGGGACTCTTAGAGGATTAAAATGAGAAAAGGAAAAGAAAATCAAGGAAAAGCAGGAATGATTTCTTTGTGTAGCTACAGACTTGTGGAACCCTCTTTCTGACCATTCTGATTTGGTAAGTCTTACAGAAAGGCTGGGAATGTTGTCTGTCAAAATACAACTTTACAATGTTTATTTTAAAAATCTGATAGATATTTAAACTACAACTTCCTTAGCTGAAAAAGAATGTCTCAAATACTATCCTCTTACAGTCGATCACTTTCAAAAATGGAAATGATTCTCATGTTAAGTTAGAAGGTAGTAAGCCTGACTCCCAACATTCTGAGGGTAATGCTAGGTGTACATGTTGGGAGTAGAAAGTTGGATCCTGGAATTCCTTGTCACACCTCTTATTAGATGTTGGCTTGCAGCTGAGTCACGAGAGTCCCTGAGCCTTGGTGTCCTGAACTATTAATGGGTGGCTGTACAGGCCAGCACTACTCTTCTGAGCTCTTGATTTGGATGAGTATAAAGGGATTCTACATCTATGACATTATATCCCAGCCATGAAGTTCTCTGTATGAATTCTCCAGTGGTTACCAGCCTCATCTGAGAGCCACTTCAAAACTGTTTTCTAGAGATCAATTTTAAAATGTCAATCTATACAACAGAGTTTTTTTCCCCCTAATTCTGTACACAAGCAAAACTAAAGTCAGTATTAAAATATCTTCCAAAATAAACTGTAGACCAGGTTTGAGCCAATAGTTATTTCTGGGGGGCTTATAAATACTAATGTGTTTGTTATATTAACAGTTTGTCAGAATGAAAGTTATAAGAGTTGTCTTTGAGAGTAAGGCATATACCTGTTTTCTGAAGCAAGAAATGGAAACTCAATCTGAGATTTTCCCTCTGTTGAAGAAAACAGTGAAAAGATTTGCCATTCTGAGGTGCCTACTTCTCTCTCCAAGAAGGTTTAGCAGAATTCCAAGCTTGAAATTCTAGTCCTCATTCGTTCATCCCCTCCTGTGTAATATGGCTCCTCTTTATCTTACCCTGTAGGTTTTGTCGTATCATGCTTCAGCAGCAGAGGAAGAAACAAGAGAGCTCCAATCTTTAGCGGTAATTCTCTTCTTTCTTTTTAAAATGTACTAAGCACAGCTATATTCACTTAATACATATATATGCTTTCCTCAGGATACCTGCTTCTACTATTTGCAGTCCCCTGGATACTTAATCAAATGTGGTAAATATTTACATGGACACTAATAAAAATATTTAATCAACTCTTTGCTTGCAAGAGTACAAAGTTACTCCTACTACAAAACAAGTAATAACATATATTGACTCTGTAATACATTATATCATTCTGATTTGTTTTCCAGTAATTGTTATAATCTTTACATCTTTCTAAGCTCAAAATTAAATTTAGCTTTCAGTTCCAGGGGAGATGGAGAGAATAATGACAACAAAGACTTTAAAGTTTGTTACCAGTAACCAACTCTGTGTTGTATGGGGTTGAGCATGATTTTGATTTCTGACCATATGGCTCATGGCATGCTATCTGAAACTGGGTTCAAATAAAGGTCAGTTACTGAATTCTCATCACATTGTTGCTTAGCGTATGATGAGAGAAAAGCACATTGATAGGTAAGTAGAGTTCTCAGCCTTGTTTGGGATTGCTTCAGTTGAGGTACATGAAGATTTGAGGCACATATGATGTTGCAATCTTTTTATTTTAAATTTCCTTGAGATGATATAGATAAGGTCTACATAAGGAATATAAAGTGTGAACATATTGAGATTATAATTGTCATCATGGCTTGCTAGGTGCTAAATCTTTTGGCCCTTACATACATTTTCTCAAGTAAGCTACACAGTTATGCTGTGAAGGCCTACTGATACCTGGAGAAGCTAGGTGACTTGTTCAAGTCACACTGCCACACAGGATACTATACACAAGTTTACACTTCATTGTACGGCACTGAGAGACAATGAGAAAGAGGATGTAGACTGAAGACTTGGAGATATTCCCAGTTGAATTGGAGAGTAGAAAAATGAATTATGTGCCAAGAACAGTACAAGAATCTTCACATGATTTTTACATAAAAGGTTACACATCTTTCAGGGGTGGCTCATATAGACTTTACTATATTTATCATATGCACTCACAATATCATCTGAAGTGATGCATAATTTTTCAGTTGTTTATAGAGGCATTTAACTTCAAAGTATCATTCACTCAAAATTAATTGGCCCATTTGTCTATTCCTTCTACAAGTATATAGTTTTCAACTAAATGTGTTCTGTGAGTTGGAAATTATCTCTTGGAAAGATACATGTTGAAGTGCACAGACACCATGGGGTTATTAAGTTATTGCTCAAATGCAGACAAGGTTACGCTCTGCCATGTGTGATGTTTTAGATAAATAAAAAAGGCAAATAGAGTAATTTCTAAAGATAATGCTTTAAAAACCACTAGTATTTTTAACTTTGTTTTTCACTTTGAAAATAGCAGTAATCTTTCACAAAAACCTGAAAATTATTTTCTCTATTATGTTTATAATTTTAGCAACAGAAAAACACTCCACAATAACTGAAAATTGCTATATTGCATATTGTTCAAAAGCATCTGTTGTCCCATTTGGAAAATAAATTTCTGGCAGCTGCAGTGAGAAATTTAGGTTCACATAGCTGTGGGTCAAATAATTCATTTAAACTGGTTGAAATTCAGCAACTGATTTCAATTCTAGTTTTCTGTCAACTGAATAAAAATTTTTATAGCCCCAAGAACACAGGTGTTTGCATCATCCACCAATGACCAAAATTGTTTTGTCATGCGTCTGATCGATTATCTCTATTTAAAACCTAAAATAAATTGAAAATCTAATAAATAATAAATAATAGTATTCTAAAAAATAAATGTTTTCCTTTCATTTTTGAAAACTCGTAAGAATTAAATAATATACTGAAATATATTCTGCCAGTATCCAGAAAAGTTCTCTAGTTACAAAAATGTAATTATTTACAGCATCCTTATTTTCCCCCAGCTTTACTTGAGTTTCTTAATCCCATTTTTAATCTAACCTTTTCTTCACTTAAAAGTAGGTATAAAAGAAATAAGGACTTAAACTGAGCATTTTGCCATGTGCCTTTTAATGATCCTTAGACACAAGTTTTTGAAATAACAGAAAAAGAACCCCAGCTGACCTGGTTATGGTTATTAGAAAGTTAAAATATCAGAATATAACAAATATTTATTATACAAACAATAGAAGTGAATATGTGTTTGATTGACTAATTGCCTGTTCTGTCTTCTGCTCTTGTTAGAAGAGCAGTAAATAAGAACAGTGTATATGAAAGTACATAAGCTTCTCAATGTTGCCATTGCGGCGGTGGCAGCACCATTCAGTCCTTATAGCTCTACCACAGTGTCTTTGATCATAGGTGATATAGCTAGAAGCAGTCAGACACTTTTATGATCCTGAAGGGCCTCCTATTCCAAAATAGCAAAGGGAAGAAGGTGACCACTTGAGGGGAATTTTCCAGGACAGAATCCATCTCATCTTGACCTTAACCTTTCAGAACCAGTGTTGATCAGGCACATATGCAATTGCTGCAGTTACAGTTGTTAGAGGCAGAGCCAGAAACTGACCCAAATCTCTGCTGCCCAAGTCAGTGTTAGCATACAGACCAGATTCCTCACAGCAAGGTAGTCATCACAGTCCTTTCCTTTTTAATAAATCTAATAGATAGCTAAATTATAAGCTGGAAACATTTTGAGCAGATGATTTAAGCTTTAACTCTTGGTAAGCAGTGCCGCTGAACAATAGTAACCTGTGACATCCAGTAGACTTTGAAGCAATCCTTTGGATTTCCTGTGTGCTATCAACTGATACTTTCATTTGTATGGAAGTCCTTTATATTAACTGGGCTATGTCTCTTTCATATTGGCAAGACTTACTAGATTCTCCATTTGGTTCTTCCCACTTTCATTGACACACTAATCTTACCTGTGTGGTTTTGATTTCACTAGTGGATGACTTCCAGGAGTCCTTTTACCTCCAAAGTGCAGAAGCACTGTTCTTGAGCTTCCTGTGCACACTACTGTGTATAGTTCTAAACACCACAGTTTTCCTGTCAGTTCTATATGTAACTAGGTAACTAAGATCTATGTGTATCAGTCCCAATTGTCATAAGTTGACTTTGAAGTTGTACTTACAAATATAAAATTTTCAAACTATTTTTTAAATTTTTTTATTTATCAATACATGTTTTAGTACATAATATTTGCAAACCTTCTGGAGAGCTGGTACATGTACATAAGTCATCTTAATTTCTTTTTTTTAATCCCTTTCTCTCCCTTCTCTTCTACCATTTCTTGATCCCCTTCCTCCTTTGGGGGGAATACGTGTTTGCAGTACATAATTCTTCTACACCTTGTGTGGAGTTGATACCTGTACATGACACATCTTAATTCCTTTTTTCATTCCCTATTCCTGCTTTAGATTGAATGGATATCTTCCTTCCCTCTATCTCGATCCCCTTGACATTATTACAGCCTTCTGTATATGATTTTGAAAAACTCTAAGTTCATTATCCAAGATTTTTATAGTCTGTGCTTCTTCCCTACTGAGGTTTGAAGGGATCCATTTATATATTCTCAGAAAGAAGGAAAAATCATATTACATGTTGATCTAGTTATTAAAGAAAGAATGAGTCTGGTCTCTGTATGCTTTAGTCACTTTTACTATGTGTAGATTTGGTTGCACACACTGAGATTCATACTCATGTCCCTTTTAATGTACATGCATTTCTTTCTCATCTATATTTGGATTCTCTTCCCTCTCAGAGAAAGAAAGTCTATTAGCTTGTATGTTTTTTGATCATTCTAAAAGTAGGGAGAGAGACAGTTGCCCTCTGTGGTGTGTACTGTGGTGGCTATGACAGAGGATTTATTCGAAGGCAGGAGCTAAGCTACTATATGTGGAAGAGGCCCCAGGAGGAAGATCGTGGTCAGGGCTGACACAGAGGTTGGGCACCTGAGAAGAGATTTCACCACACAGCACCAGCTCGACCTACCAAATAGCTTGTATTAATTTATCCCTGAAAATAATTTTCCTAAAGAAAAGAACAATTGAGAGTGAAATGTCTTTTCTTCTTGACCTTTATACTGAATGAATATCAAGGAATAATGAAACAGAATGTCTTTGTAAATCACTGAAACTAATTGGAAGAATTTGACATTTTATGGAAGAGAAAGTTCTTTTCAGACTTATTTTAATAAATAACTTCGAGAATAAGAACCCTTTTCTTACAGTTGGCTATGAGAGGTTGTTTCCATGTTTTTATTTTGCCTCTTGAGATTTGATACCTCAGACCTATGACAGGCAAAATGCCCCTGATAGCAATGTGCCCTTTTTTGTGTAGAGAACACACAAAAGTGTGAATTATGTAGCCAGAGGGTCCATGTCATTATGTCCTGCTGAAGTTAGTAGGGACTTTGCCACAGGCTAAATATAAGCTTTTTTCATGAGGCAGCTACCAAAAATAAGAAACTCAATAATTATCAAATGATCATTGTATTTACTTTACCCATGTGTATTATTTCCCATGAATACATGTTTTGTTGGTTTCAAGGAGACCATCTACTGTATATTATTTTCTTAAAAGTTTTATTAATCTGCTGACTAAACAAAAAGGCACCCTCCATACTTGTATGAAGGGACTGCGATGTGGCCCTTATTTTGTGTGAGTGGCCTTCATAATGAGAAATAGCTGAAGGGAAGAACCAACCTGGGGGATTGATAAAGCTCAGGAAAGCTTCTCCTTGACTAAGAAGGTAGTGAAATGTGGACTTAACAGTAGCTCTGTTGCTGTCTCATTAGGGACCACTTGTGTATATACTACCAGCTTTCTTCTGTTACTGTGCTTAAAATGCTGTGTATTTCAGTTATACATGTGTCTTACCTTCTCCATCAGACTATCAGTTCTTGAATCATAATAATAATTAACAATAATAGCTACCACCTACTGATTACATAACAAGAATATGGTTTATGCTTTGTTGAGTGATTGCATGAATCAATCAGTCAACTAATAGATTCTACAAGACCATACTT